CAGTGATCATAGTCTAAAGTTTATACTTGGCAAACTGGATTTATCCACTCCTAAGGAGAATGATGCATCTCACCATAAGGCTGACACCAGATTGGAAAAGCTCATATGGGTAGAGAATTCTTTCATAGTGCGACTTCAAAAGAGACCCAGTTCCTTTTCCTGGCAGATATCCCAAGCGACTACCCACTTTAGACCATTTCTTCTCTTTGGTCACCATTTCAAAACCACCTTTGCTGGCAACAATCTGAAAAGAAAGTAAAAGTTATTTAGGAAAAAAGGTATATTCAAGCATCCTAATTCTGTATCTTGTCTACAAATACAGAAATTATTCTGGGCTTAGATTTCAATTTTCCTTCCAACAAGTATCTAACCAAACTGACACTCACCATTTAGAGTACTGACACTTGTCAATATTTAGAGTAAGGGATAGAGACAATGATTTTCAGAGGTTTTAAACTTTAAAACTTAATGTTATTACGCCTTTCAAATTAAGCATTCAAAAATATTTAATGAATCTGTACTTTGTACATCATGCACTGTGAGAAAACTAAGCACATATATTTTCTATATCCTAAAGGAACTCAAAATGAAATAATAAAAAGCAGACAAAAAAAAAGACATTAAGTTACATAATACAAAATATGAACATACATCCTGAAATTAGAAAATGTACCAAGTAACTTAGAGAACTTAACAAAAATGTCAAGCAATGAACTTAGAGGACAGTTTTGAAAATGAGGTCATAATTGTTCAAAAGGCAAAGAGTTTTATATGGAAGATTATGAAGGAATGCTAGAGAAAGATCGTATTGCAGTAGATTCTCTGGTACACAGTACAGACTATATTAACGTAGGAAGTGATGACATAAATTAGCTAACTTGGCTGAATGCTCACATCAAGCCAGGTACTACATAGAATATGCACGTATCAAGGCTCTCTGCCTTCCAGAAGCTGATATTGTACATCTCTCACACTCTAAAATATAGTCGTGCACCACATAACGACGTTTTGGTAAATGACAGACCACATATATGATGGCAGTCCCATAAAGACCGTAATACCATATTTTTACTATATCTTTTCTACATTAAGATATGTTTAGATACACAGTTCCATTGTGTTACAGTCGCCTAGTATTAAGTGCAGTAACATGCTGCACAGGTTTGTAGCCTAGGAACAAAAGGCTGTGCCATACAGTATAGATGTGTAGGCTGTACCATCCAGGTTTGCGTAAGTACACTGCATGACGTTCGCGCGATGACAAAATTGCCTGATAACACATTTCTCAGACTGTATCCCTGTTGGTAAGTGACACGTGACCGTACAGGCAGTTTTCAGTCTCACTAAGAACACAATAAAGAGGACTGTGACACAGTATTTGAACTCTGTTAACCGTTTCTCCTCTTTAAGTATATACTACTGTATTTTACTACGTGGGAAAAAAGTTAAAATTTAAACACAGAAGTACCACGTGATCCTGCAATTTCACTTCCAAGCACATATACCCCAAGAACTGAAAGCAAGCACAGCAATGTTCACAGCAGCATTATTCATGAGACTCAAAGGACGGAAATAACCCCAATGTCCATCAACAGATAAATGAACAAACAACATGTGGTATATACATACAATGGAATATTATTCAGCCTTAAAAAGAAAGGAAATTCTGATACATGCTACAGCATGAATGCGCCTTGAAAACACTATACTAAGTGAAATAAGCCAGACACAAAATGAATATTGTATAATTGTACTTATATAAGGTACCTAGGACAAGCAAATTCAGAGACAGAAAGTATAATAGAGGTTACCATGGGGAAGGAGAGGGGTAGTTCTGGAAATAGATAGTGGTGATGACTGCACAACATTGTAAATGTACTTAATGCCACTGAGTTGTACATTTTAAAATGTTTATGTTACATATATTTTACCACAATTTTTTTTTTT